GCTTTTCTTTATAAAAACTTCAATTGAATTTCAATAAAGTTAAAGGCATGGCCTCACCGTTAATATTTAAAAAAAAATAAAAAAATAAAATAAAAAAGTAATGAAGTATAATAAAAATATTGAAGATCAGTAATAGTTTTTGGATTAGTTTTATATTTTTTTTTATAAATTTCTTCATAATTAATTTAAAAATATTTATTAATTTTTTTTGCAGCTTTAATATATCTACCTTCAAAAAATGATATTTTAAACATTTCTTTTGTTTTTTTTTGCATTTCATATTGTATTAAAACTTTTGCATATGTATAAGCTCCTAACTTAATAAGATCAGTATCAATAGTATCTTTATAAAATTTTTTAGCATAATTTAATGCATTATTTTTGTTTTTAAGTTCAATAGCATCTGCAATAATCTATTCAAATGCCTCAACATCTACAATATTAGAATATACTCTAGATAAGTATTTTTTTCTTTCTATACTTCTTTCAGAATGAATTTCAAAAAATTTTAAATCATCAATTCATAAAGTCTTCTTAAACTATCAGATAGTTTAATATTGTCATCTTGATTAAAAATATTATTAATCATTATATCTTTATTTTCTTTATTAAATTTAAGACTGAATTGAAGTTTACTTGTACTCATTTTAATGAATATATTTAAATTTATATCAATATAATATTATTAAAATTTATCAGATTTTTGTATCTATAGAATTTATCATTTTAATTGATGATATTTATAAACAATTTTTATTAGTAATAAAATTATTTTATATTATTTATTTTGTATAAATTAATAATATTTATCATTATAAAATAAATCAATTCTATTTTACTTTGTTTTTTTGAATAATATTAATTAAATATGTTTTTGTTATTGAAATTACTATTGGAAATAATTTGTATGATATATTCCTTTTTAAATCTTGAAGATCAATTCTTTTTTGGAATTTCTAATAAATTTTTCTATAGAATTTTTAAATCGAAATATAAAACACTTGATATTTATTTAAGAATATTTGATTATTTTACTTCATATGATCAATATAGATTACAAAATACATTTTATATATGGAAATTATTGTTTAAAAATAAAACTAAGCAAAAAACAAATCTTAATCCTGATAAACATGTATTTGCTTTAAATAAAAAAAATACTATACCATTGAATATCATTCGAATTGAAAAAAAAAAAATAATGATATTATTGTATTTCAAAATCCTTTATTAAAAAATAGTAAAATAAAAAAAAAGTTGGAATTTGACCATACTTATAATATTGCACCTCAATGTGAAAATATAATTAATCTTAAAACATCTATGTATCTATTTCAAAAAAAAAATATTGAAAAAAGAAAACTTTTAAATAATTTTTATTGTGATAATTGTTATAAACTATTAATAGAAGAGTATTATCTATATAAAGAATGTTTTGTATTTTGGTATAAAGAAAAAAAAGAACATTCTTATAAACTTTGTAAAGAATGTAAAATAAAAGAAAGAAAAAATAATAAGAAAAAGAAGAAAAAAATAATTAGTAATATTAAATAAAATTAGTATTATTATTAATTATTAAAATATATAAATTTAAGTTTATCTATTAAAAAAATAAAATAAAAATGTTGAATGAATTTTCAACAGATATATTATATATTATCTTTACTAATAAAATATTATCTAAAAAAGATTTATTTTCTCTAGTATTTATTTTATAAAAAATATGTAATAATTCAATATCTTTATTATAGGAACAACATTTCTTGTTTTCTAATTATTTAAAAACTTTGCATGTTTTATATAATGAATTACTAATAAATAAACAAGAATATATTAAGAAAAAAAATAAATATATGAATAAATGTGATAGATATACTTCTCAAAAATATTATTTTCCAACTAATTGAAAAAATAAAAAAAATTATTATTATATTTTTCTTTTATAACACAATTTTCTTTTCAGAAAATTTATCTTTGTTTACAAAATAAAATATCTAGTTATTTTTTAAAATTGATAATAGAAAATAGTAAAATGATAAAATTAATAAGTTGTGGAAATTGTTTATCTTCTTCTTAATTTTTTGATTATTTTTTTTTTTGGAGTTAAGGTAAGGTTTTGCTCATATCTTTATCAATTTGTTAAAGATGCCTTCAAGGGCTTCTCTGGATATAAATTACAAAATTTATTCCAATTGCAAATTTGTTACAAGAGTAAAGCTCAGACTATAGAAAGAAACTAACTTTTATTTATCTAATTTATCTGCAACCTAAATGTACTAGAGTGGTTAAAACTCACCTAGATTTGATAGTATAAAATGTTGTTTGTAGGATAGCTATAAAGTACTTAATGATCGAGCTATAAATTAATTTTACATAGAGCATGACCAAGTGGTGAGCAAGTATTTGGATCAATGTGTTTTAAGCTTGATAGTTCATATAAATTGCAGGTTGTACTTTGTAATTAATGTCTGTTAACATAATATATATCATTATGATTAGTTTATATAGGTCTTCTTTGTTAGTTTTTGGTATACTGTAGAATGTTGTTGTTATTTTTCCATTGTGCCAGTTTTGTACAATATGGTTTCTATATTTGTTTATAAACTTTTTGGGACAGCTTGTGTAGAAGTCTAGTAGTAATGTTTTTTGCTTTTGTTTGCGATTGAGTAAATAATATGATTGATAAAATAAGGCTGTTAGGCATATATCATTGTAATGTTGTATAAATGTTAGTTTGTTGTAGAGTTATGTGATAAATAAAAGGCTATTGTGTTGTAAAAGTATTTCTTGTAGATCATTAATTTGAGTGCTAGTAATATCAGTTATATGAGTAATTGTTTCTGTTATTGTTTCATGAATAAGATTGGTAAGAAGTATAGTGTTTGGATAGAGAATCCAATGTAGTGAATGTTCTGATGTATGGTATGTAATATAGCTATTGCTATTTATTGCTTTCAGGTATAAGTTGTGAAGGTAGAAAAAAGTAGGTAATATGTTAAGTTATATTTTAATTTTAAAGGATTTGCTGTTGCTAAGTGTAAAGTTTGTATATAAGCTAGTTCTGTTAATGTTGTTATTTAGGTATAGCCAGGTTGCTTCCTAGTTAATTTGTGAGAATAGAGGAATAATGTTGTTCATTCAGTTTTGAGATGAGCATATAGTTATTATGTGTGCATTGCAGATGTTTTTGATTGCTCGTTGGATAGGTTGTTCAATAATATATTGATTATATTGTATATTATAGTATATGAGGTATTATAAATGTTGTTGTATCATATATCCAGGAAATTTGTTGAGTTGTAGTTTGATGCAAGCTTATCTGCTTCATTATTAAATATGTTGTCTTCATAGCTGGTACTTTGTGAAGTGTAATGTTGTATTTGTATGACCTAATTAAATTAATAATTGTGTGCCATATTGGCCAATAGTTATAAGAGTATTGTTTGTGTAGTGGTATTATGTTGTTAGTAATTTTGTTAAATTTAGAAATTACAGATTGTGAGTCAGTATGGATTTGGATATTGCTGTTTCGAGGGCATGTGCATATGGCTAATAGAATAGCTACTAGCTCAGCTTTGTATAATAATGGCCAAAATTTAATTCGAGAAGAATAAAATTTGATAATAGTATTGTTATATATTTGTATCCATCCAATGTTCATTGAGCATTTATCAGTAGTAATATTGGTAACAGATCCATCAGTATAAAAGGTAAAGTTGGTGCATTGAGCATTTTGGTTTGCAATTTGTTGTAATTAAATAGATGATGAGTTGGTATGAAAAATAAGAGAGATTGGATCATGTGATAAGGTAATGAATAAGAGTGTAGAAATTCTTGTAGGGTTACATAATGCAATTGAGTATACTAGATCTGTATAATTTGCATTAAGTTTAAGTTTGTTTGTAGGATTTTGTTGTTTTCTTCCTAAGAATTTTGTAGAAAGAATAGCAGAAATATCAAATGTACAGTGGTTTAGTATTCTGTTAGAGTTATGTGAGCATCCTGTACATCATATACAATTAATTGATGAGAGTGGATAGAGGTTTGTGTTGGATGCATTTGCTTCAATTGTCCAGTGTGTAATGGATATAGTGTTGTTGTTTTGGTTATATTTGCATGCCTTTCCTATTATTAATTGTTCACTATTGTAATCAATAGTAATAAGCCAAGGTTTTGATTTTGAGTTGTAATGTCTTGTTGTAAAAGATAAGGAGTTAGTTTGTAAGTGACTTAGATTAGAGTTGAGTTTTCTAGTAAGAGAATGTATAATGGTTTTTTCTTCTAATATGGTTAACTATTTTGGTTTATGTTAGTAGGAATTTGTTCGAGTCTTGGTGAAATGTGTTTCTAGTCTAAAAGTGTAAAGTTATTAGATGAGGTTAATTGTTCAAGATAAAGAATGTGTTTAGTTTGTAATTGTTTTTTGAAGTTGTTGTATTCTTATATGTTTTGAGAATGTTTTCAATTGGTGTATATGAGTATTATAGTGTATGTGATAATGTTGTATATGCAGAAATAGTAAATTGTAGATGTCGAAGTAGTAGTATTATTTGATATGTTGTTGTGTTTTTATTTGGACCATCTATTAGTGGATATAGATGCTGTAAGATATTAGTAGTAGACCACAAATTATTTTGTAGTTGTTGTAATCAGATATGTATACTAGTTCCAAGTAGATCTGTTGTGTTTAGTTGAATTAGAAAGTTTATAATATGATGTTGTAGCTGGATATCTAATACATTTTTATATTATATATGTTATAGTTTAGCATGATGCTAGTTGGAGTAGTTAGTGCAAGTTTAGATTTGTGTTTGGCAGTAGTAAGATATCTGGATAGAATTTTGTCATATATGTGTTGAGGAAGTACTATATTATGTATATGGTATTCGATAATAGGGATAATAACATTGTTGATTATATAAAAAACTTGTTTGTTAGTTATTTGTTTAGTTTGAACTATATTTGTTAAGCCAAATGTTTCTTGTAGAATAAGTTTAATTGTGATGGCTTGTTTGTTAGTTGCAGTATACCAACAACCAAGAAATTTTAAAGATGTGTTAGGTGGTTGTGTTGTAATAGTTGAGTTTAGAAAAGTGAAAGTGGGTGTGTGTTTTGTAATAGATATTAGACTAGATTTTTGAGAATTTACTTTAATGTTTGCCATTTGGTAAAATGTAGATGTTACATTGATGTTACTTTGTAGTTGCTGTTAAGATTTTGCTAACCATAATGTATCATCCATATATGCTAATACAAAAGTATTTGCATAAGTTGTTTGGTACTTTGCAGGAAATAAGGAAGTTGGATATGTAACTGTTGATGTGTATCCTTTAAATTTTTTATATATAAGGTTGATAAGAGGATTATAGTAGATTCACTATAGCAAAGGAGTTATAGTTTCTCCTTAATCTAT